AATTAGCGTAATGCCTCTCCGAAGCCGAACAGGGTCCCATGTCTTAATGAAACCCGTAACGATAGATATATTCATTGCTTATATTACATTTCTTCCAGCATTCTGCGACTAAATAAGGAACTCGATGCACTTCATGTTAGCTCAGATGCGTCCTTCTTGCCAACTCTGACTCGTTCTATATTTGACAGGTATTTTTGTTTCAGCTGATTTTTTTTGCCGCGAGAGGTTCCTGCCACAGAAGTAACCATATGAAGAAAATAGGGTGTGGGCCAGGAGGTCCTCACCCTATTTTCTTCATATGGTTACTCGCGAGAGGTTCCTGCCACAGAAGTAACAATATGAAGAAAATAGGGTGTGGGCCAGGAGATCCTCTCTGCGGCGAAGGCGTGCGCGGAGTGCGCACCGAAACAACTGGTTTACCCCTGAAAGAAAGTGAATTACAATATACCTACTTACCTAATTGGGAAATATTCTTGTCCGCTGCCGATAATTTAGCGCGTGAGGAGTGCTGGGTTTTGCGCTGTGACAGCCTCGTTTTCTACCAAATGCGTTCTCTTGCCACCTCCTTCAACTGATGTAGAACGGGGTGGCACCGCGCCAAACCGAGCCCCCACCCCCTGCCACGCCCCAGCATCCGCAGCGATCAATACTGTATTAGTTAGTTTGAACGCGCCACATTTACCGACCCTTGGCCGGAATGCTATCGCTGATTCTTTCTGATATTTGCAAAGGTTCGTGTGGGTACGGTGCTACAGGGTCACCAGCCACCGTGCGCCCCCCTCCCCCCTCCTCCCCTCCCCTCCTCCTCCCACTTACGTCAGCGCCGTTTGCCGGCTGTCAAGCAAGGCAGTACGCGGTACATCATGTTCTTGGAAATATCAGCAGGGCTTCTTTACGACTAAGTTAAGCTTTCCACCCGTAGGAGACGGTTGTTTGGCACGGATTCGGTAGTTACCGAAGTCCACACTGCATAACCGTCACTGCGATTCCGAACGGAGGTAAAAAAAAGGGGGGGGGGTACCTACCAGAAGTGATCAACACTGAAAGCTGTTCTTCCTATCTGTTATTACGATTCCAGGTATTTGTCCACTTATCAGAGTGAAGGAGTTGGATTATCTCCATGCCCAGTGCAGCAACATGCTTCAACGGTTTTATGAGTCCAAGAAACATGTGAAGAAGCAAGATTCATAGTGGAGGGTAGGTTCTTGAGTCTCTCTCCTTGAGTGTATGCCTTTTCCGTATCTGACTGGATTCAGTTTGCAAGAGTTGAAACGGGACGTGCAGGCACGTCTCTTAACTGTAGAAACGTATGGTGGAGAGACCTTCCTGTCAGAAGACGTCGCTATCAGCATTTTGCAAGAAACTAAAAATGCTTTCAATAGAGCATCTCAGGTAAGCTTTCTCTTCCACAAAGGCTTCAATATTCAAACATTCACTGGGTGAAAAACTAGAAGGTGCCATGCGCCTCATTGAGAATTTTTTGTGATTGCTGCATAGGATTGGGATGGGGAGGTCGTCTTTTGTATAATTATCCCCCAATGGCAAGAAATGCCCTTAAGTTTTCAGTAGTACTTTGAGTATAGTGTGCCATTCTGTTAAACATTTGCAGCTTTGCGAGAAATCCGAGGTTCCCAAACACAGCGAGAACATACTGGATATACTGCTTAGGTATCTGTATTCTGAACATCTGGACTATGCGGTGGAATTGGCTATATCTGGTGAGTCAGCCAAAAAAAACAAAAAAAAATCGAAACCTCCCTATGACCC